GTGGATGCTGAGTAGGTATGGGGACATCTGGGCATGCACCCATGTTTCTAAGGGACACAGAACACCACAGTGAGAGAGGGTACACCCACTACCCTAGCTTTACCTTACTCTCCTCCAAGTTTTCGTGAGAGTATCTACATAACCTTCATGTTTCTGGGCTCCTTGGAGGATGCCAATGGTTAATTCAAAGCCTAGTGAGGGGCTTAAACACCCAACCCTCTCTTTAATCACCACATATGAGTCAGTAAAGTTACCATGGCCTGGAACCCAAACACTGACAATGACATGGAATTCTTTTGCTATGGTCTTTGCTCCTATAATTTACCACGTCTGACATGTCTTACCTTTATTCATTTCTAGGTTAGCATACACAACAATGGATTCTACCACTTTCACACATACCTGCCAGTACTGCCTTAAGATCCTAACTATAAGAAAATACTGCTCCACTTAAGTTTGGTGAGGTATCTTCTGCCGTGTGGGGGAGGGGGGAGGGGGAATACACTGGTACTCTTCGTCAACAAAGACCCAGGACAAGGAATTGGAGTAAACAGCAGCTCCAGACTCCTTCGCTCTTCTGTCGCACGAAGGCCTGGCAGGACACTATTTCTGGGGCTGAGACAACATAAGAGTGATAACACATTCTTCCAGTCCCCATGTACCCCAAAGGGAAACATCTGCGTTTGCTCTGCCAAGAACCCACAAAGTTTGTCATGTTCCTGAGGCTCCCTGCAGGAGTGACAAGAGACAGTACCCCTGCCTTGCCCTCCAAGGGCTTCTGATTTGTAGCCTGTATGAAAAACAGCAGGTTATGAGCAGATTTCCCCAGGACTACGCAGGGGGCCCCACAGGCCATGGCTCTCAGTTCATTGGTTTCTGAAGCTCAAGTCAGAGAAGAGGGGCTACAGTGCTCCCCTGAGCTCTTTGAACTCCTGGTCACCATGGCTAGACTGCACCTGCCTCTCCAACAGCGCCTTCTGGGGACACACCAATTCCTTTCCAGGTTCTTTTTACAGGGTCCCTTGAGTAACTCTACAGTGAGCTGGAGAGCTCCCTCAGGTGCCCCAGGACCCCGACTAGATGAGCTACCACCGCGATGCCATTTTTCGTATCCTTTCGGAGGGTTTAAATCTGGCCATTTGTTACCACTGGGAAGGCAGAGACCACAGTACTCAACCACCTACATCCTCCACAGTCCAACATTTAAGGAAGAATTTATTTTTATGCTATGAGTGTTTTGCCTGCATGTAAGTATGCCCATGTTGTACAAGGCCCACGGAGGCCAGAAGAGGGCATGGGATCCTCTGAAACTGGAGTTATGGATGGTTGTTAGCCACCATGTGGGTGCTGGGAACTGAACCCAGGTCCTCTGCAAGAGCAGCCGGTGCTCTTAACTGCTGAGCCAGCTCTCCTGTTCCGAGTCCTCCTTCTTAAATGGTGATCATGACCCCATGTAAGGCTGAGTAGCTGGGAACTATGAAAAGTCAGGCAATGGTACAACGGTTTCTGAACCGCAATGACCAAAAATTTACTCAAAATCAAACATGCAATGAACCTGAGGTGCGTCCGGCAGCACCTGCTCAAGCTGTCCCACAGGACCTTCCTGCAGGTGTGGTTCCCAGCACAAGGCCAACAAACACTGCCTGACACACCTCGGCTCAGATTCTAGACAACCAAACATTCTGAACTATACACAAAATCTTCTGCTCTTACAGACGTAGAATACAATTACAGAAAACAGAGACTTGTAACATTTTCCTGTCACCACCCTGAGCATATATGGAGAGATGGCTCAGCGGTTAAGAGCACTGGTTGTTCTTGCAGAAGACCCAGGTTCGAATCCCAGCACCCACATGGCAGCTAACAACTGTCCGTAACTCCAGTTCCAGGGGATCTGACAGCCTCTTCTGTTCTGACCTCCACGGGCATTGCACGACAATGCACAACTTACCTATATGCAGGCAATACATGCAAACACGTAAAATAAAAATAATAAATAAAATTTAAAAGACAACAAATTAGTTTATCTTTGAATCTTACTGTTACAATGTTTGATTCTTAGAAACTGCTGTTGCAGTTGCTGATTTGACTTCCAAAAAAAACAAACAAACAAACAAAAAAAACCACTAAGTGCATTTTGCCAACAATTTCCGAAACAGCCCTAACCCACAAACTTCTGCTATTCTGATTTAAGTATTTATGTAAAGTGATGTTCCCAACTCCGATAACTGTAAAATCAAAATATTGATCAAATCTGAGAAATGCTGTTGATGCTCTGTATTCCACAGTACAAAGTATTCAGCCAAGACTTAACACCTCATGTAAAAATGACCATATCCTCTCATTAGCATGTATATTTGCTTTTGTCTTAAAAAAAGACTTTTGTTTTCATTTATGTGTGTTTATGTCTGTGTGAGCACATGCATGTTAGTGCAGTGCCCCTGGAGGCCAAAAGAGGGTGTTGGACCTCCCTGGAGTTGGAGTTACAGGTGGCTGTGAGAGGTCCATGTGAGTGCTGGAAACAAAACACAGGCCCTCTGCAAGAAGAGGAAACACTCATAACCACTGAGCCGTCTTTCCAACCATTTAAAAATAGTACAAATTCTGCATATTCAAAAGAATTGTTTTAAGATTAAACTTATTATTTACTACGATGTGTATATCTATTTCACATACCTATCTATCCAAAGATGACTGAAATTTCTCAGGAGGAAAGGGGTCACATGTAGGAGTTAAGAAGCCCCGTTCTACTGCACCGTCCATATCGCCAGTGGGAGCCACTGAGTGCAAGGCCATGAAGCAGAGTGTGCCCGCCAGAAGCAATCAGTGCCTCCAGGAGCAGAAAACAGAAACACATTCTCATAAACCAATCACAGGTAGAGTTTCACAGGTAGAATCCCTAGCTGCAATGTCAAGTGCAACCTGTAGTCTAGACTTCATACAAAGCGCGTTTAAGGACGGAGTCCCAAAGACCACATCCTTGAATCTGAAGTGAGTTCAGCAGTAAGCTGACAGGACACTATCTGGCTTCAGAAATATAAAATATGACACACGCATTTGGCATTAGGTGGCTGAGGCAGGAGGACCGTGAGCTTGAAGTCAGCCTAGGCTACATACTAAGACCCTGTCTCAGTGACAAAAAAAAAAAAATATTTTTTTTATTTACTATTTTTATGTGTTTTGCCTGCATGTATGTAAGTGTACCTATGTCATGTAATGCCCATGGAGGTCAGAAGAGGGCGTCAGATTCCCTGAAACTAGAGTTATGGACAGTTATTAGCTGCCATGCGGATGCCGGGATCAAAACCCACGTCCTCAACAAGAGCAGTCGGTGCTCTCAGCCCCTGAGCCATCTCTCCAGCCCCCGTGGTTGGCTTTGATACTGGGGCTGAACTCAGGTGTTTGGAAGGCAAGCACTGCTGAGCTATCGCCCAGGCCTCCTCCTTTCTGTTTTAGTATGACCCCGTCAATAAAGTGACCTGTCGCTATTAAAAGAACAGATTCTGTTGCAGCTTGATGACCCTATTGCACAGCACCCACCAGATGACCCCGTGAACTCAAGTCAGCTCAGGCTTCTTACCGATGCTTCTTACCCATGCTTCCAACTCCCCATTAGCCCAACACACACCTGCTGGTTTGCCATAGGGCTTTACCTTAGCCAATATGGATAATTAAAAGGTGCTTAAGCAGCTGCAGAAAGAGTTGGTCATCAGTTGTGCTGTGACACTAAAGTCAGACATCTAGAAACACAGGACACCCACTGTGAGACTTCCATCAAAGGAAGTCTTGCTTGGGTCCCCAGGCTGGAGGTGGGGAGGGGTGGCGATGGTGCCAGCCTCACCCCAACCTCTCGTTGGGGCAGACTGTGGCCGACATGGGTGGCAGCTGTTGTGGTAAGGGGTCTCAAGAACCCCAGCATTTGTGGGCAATGCCTTCTGGTGGGAAGAGGAGGTGTCCAGCTCAGCACCTGGGGCCTGGACCCACCACTACTTTCCACCATTGCTGACAAAGTGGTACCAACCTCATTTACTCCAAGATCAGCTATTTGGTCTTCACCGGCTACCCTTGTCAGGTGGGAGCTATAGGAGGCAGACAGCACGCAGTGTGGTGAAGGAGAGGGGCTCCTGGGCCCTGTGGACTTTATGTTCCTCACGACACAGGAAACAACTAGGCCCACCTCACAAACCTCACAGACAGGGCAACCTGCTGGGTCCCACCAGTGCTTGGTGCTCATCTGAGCTGTGGGTACATGAAGCCACTTTCCATACTGGGAATCCATTGTCCTCAACATTCCAACATTCAAAGGAGGACAGCCAAGACAAAGTCAGTAGACAGGGAGAGAAAGGAGATGGGGTAGTCCCCGAGGGCGGGGCCCTTAGCCGAAGACAGCCCGCTCCTGTTCACCTCACAGCTCCTGATCAAGACAACAGTGTTTGTATTTCTAGTTTGTTCATTTGCCCCTTCCCACGTGAGGAGTGCGTGTGCACACATCCATATATCCACGTCCATCTGTGAACTAAAAATACCTAATTTCATGGGCAGGAGTCACTTCAGGAACTTAATTCACGTTTGGCCACGACAGCGACTACAGACTTTGCAAGAAGAGGTACCACCCACAGCAAACTAAGAGTCCTCGCTGACCTGAGCCACTGTTGGGGGAGAGCGAGCAGCAGCAGGACAAGGAGAGTGATGGGCAGCATGGCCCCTTCGTGGAGTGGATGCTCTTATCCCAGGCTGCCCAGGTGGGGCTGAGCCCACAGAACCTTACCAGGAGTATGGTGAGGACCAGTGCTATCAAATCCTGGTGACAAGTCCCTGGTAACACCTGGCTTCAATGGAGAGTCACCTACTGGTAAGTAGGTCCCAGGGCACCTTGCATGTCACGCAGCAGTGCCCTGTGCTGACTTTGCACTGTGTTCTCAGTGCATCTGACCACAAGAACTAGAAACACTAGCCAGCCTGTCCCACGCCAGACACTCGCGCTGAGAGCGCGGCCCTACCTTCAGCGGTACCGGAGAGCCCGTCGGCCTTGAAGTTGCTGGTACTTTTCTTCCTCCGGTGCTTCTTTCTGTTGGCGTGCGGGGAGGGGGGTGGGTCGAGCTTGGGGCTGGTGCTACTGGAGATGCTTGGGCTGGAACACACGGAGTCCCCCAGGCCTGTGTCTGCCGCCGGACCGGAAAAGGCAAAAGAATGCCAGGGTGAGCACAGAGCAAAGGGAACTTGGCGAGATCCACTTGAGCAACAGGCCTCCACCATCACACCAGGTCTGGCCTGAGACACCCGAGGGCGAAGTGGCTGGGACAAGGCCTGGGGTCTTGGCACCCTGCCATGGTCTCCTGCCAGCCCGAAGCAGACATTCCCTTCTACCTCGCCTTCATGCTACGGAGCCCTGAAAAGCCTCTGCTCCACGTGACCAGACTTCCTGGGACCTCTGGTTCTGGGGAGGAGGTGTAAGCTTCTGATTCTTAGGTGTTTTATTTTTCTTACATCGATTACCTTGATGTACCAGGAATCCGGACAAAGACATGGGATGGACTCATCTTAAGTGGGCTTGAAATCGCACACACAGGACAAACTTCCTGACTCTTCTCACTGCAGCACCACAAATGACCGTGACTTCACTTTACAATTAGTGAGGGGCGGCGGGCCATGCTGTGACCCCCACCACAGCCTGCAGAGGTGTTGAAAAGCCAATGAGGTAAGCCACCAGCTTAGTCCTCTTCTACTCAGAAAGCTTGTAAAACCAACATGCAAATATGATACTTCACTACAAACCAAACTCCGTTTATTAGTTACTTTATCTTCAACAGAAAGAAAGGCAAAGGTGATGCTCAGTGACCAGGAATAGACACAGAACACACGGACAGAGGAGTACCCGGAGCACAGGGCGGAGGAGCACGGGGCGGAGCATGGTGCTGTACATCGCCCAAGTTTTGTTTATGTTCTCTGGTCATGAGTCAGCAAGCTTTTAACTCAAAGGACAGAACGCACTGTGCGCTCTGCACTCTGTGCTGTGCGCTCTGTGCCGGCTCCTGGGACACCAACTAGGCCCAGCTCCCTTCTAGAAGCTGGGGACCCACTGCTGAGAAAACTGCATCAAGATTCCCGATGCGGGGCACCGTGGCAGTGGCTGGGCACCTACCATCACCTCGTTTCGTCCCCTGAGGATGGCACCATTCCACCCTCACCAGGCCTCCTGCTTTCCAGGTCAGGCATTTTGAGAAAGGTTCCGATCCCTGGGTGACTGTGCCCTAGGAATGGCAAGCAGTCCTGAGCTGCACCGTGGCATGTGGTATGGCAGGCCGGCTGCAGTGGTGGTGGCAGAGTAAGGCTTAATGAAAACAGGAGCCCCTGCTCAAGACCAGGACCTGAGCTGAGTGTGTTTCCCAAAGTTCCCATTTTTCCACGTGCCTGGCCCTGCACTTGGCCCCAGAGGCCTGGTTCTGAGTCCTGGGCTACACTATGAGGTTGACCCAGGTTTAGCCTCTCCCAGGGCTTTGCAATGCTAAGCTTCCTAAAGTGGTGATTCTTGAACATGAATTTTAAAATACAGATTTCCTCCAAATCTCAGATGAAAGCTGGAGATACCTCAGTGCATGGGGCAAAGGCTGGGCTGTGATTCCTGTGCTCAGTTTCCCCGTGTTCGGAGCCGTGTTGGTAACCCTGGGACAGCTGCTAGAGACTCCATGATGGTCATCCATCCTGAAGGCCCTGTGTGCTATTTAGTGCTTAAGCCCAAAAGCAGTATCTTCGATCATTTTAAATAGTTTATGCCCAGGTTTTAAAAGTTGCTCCCCTCTGACCCACTACTCTGTGCTAGGCCTAATGAGAGTGGTCCACGCCTACCCTGTCCCTAGAAAGCTCACTGACCAGGCAGGCAGAGGGGCAATGTCACCTGCTGCTGGCCATCCTTTCATCGTTCTACCCTGGCCCAGAGGCCCCTCATGTACCAGGCGGGACTGCCCCACTGTCCCGCTGCTCCTTTCTTGACTGCACCAGTGATTCTTTCTCCCAAGCTTCCACATCCCATCTCAACTCCCAGCGATGCTATGCACTCATGCACTCAGCTGAGTTGCTAAACCTGACTGGAGCCTACTCCAAAGGCTTCGCTTCCCTCGAGTGTCCTGCAGTGCCAAACAGGTGGGAGCGCACTGTAACTAGACCACTGCCTCCCTTTAAGACACTTAGAACACATGCAGGGGCTACGGAGCACGTAGGTCCTTGGTTCTCTACAGTCCCATTGCTATCCTGTCTGTGGACTCCACCAGCACGCAGGAGATCTGATATGCTGAGGCTTTCCAGGTCAATACCTGCTACTCTTCACAGTTGGTTGTTTAGGGCATGGATCTCTGTGTACCCAGCCAAGTCAAAGAAAAGTATGCAGAGTAGGGTGGGGTCAGGCAGAGCCTCACACCTTTATTAGCACCACTCCACATCTGGCAGCCTCTAAGAATCGCCACTGAGCTCAGACAAAGCACAGGTTGTTGTGTCCTGTCCACATGCCTCTGAACTTGCCAAGGAACAAACTGAGCATGGATGGACACACACACACACACACACACACACACACACACACACACACCTGCAATTTCAGTACTGAGGAGGCTGAGGCAGGAGAATTTCTAGGAGCTTGAGGCCAGCCTGACCTGGCCTGGCCTATACATCCGGTACCAGGTCAGTCGGGGCTGTATCTCAAGACCCTACCTCAGAAACAAAACAGAACAAAACCAAACCAAACTGAAATCAAGAAACAATTTTGCCAAATACTTTGCCGAAGGCCAGGTAGGTCCCCAACTTGCACATGTTTTTAATGGGGCTGTATCTCAAGACCCTACGTCAGAAACAAAACAGAACCAAATACTTTGCCGAAGGCCAGGTAGGTCCCCAACTTGCACATGTTTTTAACAAGAAAAGCTAAATGGGGGCTGGAGAGATGGCTCAGCAGTTAAGAACAATGGCTGCTCTTGCAAAGGACCTGGGTTCTATTCCCAGCACCCAGATGGTGGCTAACAACCATCTGTAACTCTAGTTCTAAGTGGTCCAACACCCTCTTCTGTCCTCCGTGGGCACTGCACGACACAGGTGCATTACATACATGCAGGCAGTACGCTCACACACATAAAATAAAAATAATGAATTATTTTTAGAAAAGAAGAACTCAACGAGCAGGTGTGGCAGCTCATGGCTTTAATTCCAGCACTTGGGAGGCAGAAAGCTTAAAGCCAGCCTGGTCTATACAGTGAGACCCTGTCTCAAAAGTAAATAATAAATAACGTAAGAAAAACTAAAGGGACACCCATTTGGTACTTTTTTCTCCTTAATGAAGAATCCCTGTTCAAACAAGTCACCATTTTCTGTATATGTAAAACACCCCCTTGGCAGTCTACTTTACACTTGACCTGGGCAGACCCTGAACTCACCAGCACATGGTTCAGAAATCTTTGCCTTGGGATTGAAGATGGTGTGTGTCCGTTTCGAGGCAAACCCCTCCCCTCAAACTGTAGAGGCTTTTCCAAAATAACCCACAGGACCACGCCGGCCCATTTCTAGGCGTCTTGGTATCTGGGGATATTCATCATACTATGAGAAGCTTCTGAGTCAGGCGGAGGAAAGGACAGTCCTGGGACATGCCGTGCTGGGAAGGGATGTCACCTACCTTCCCCTCAGAGCCCAGCAGGCCAGTCCACCGACCTGCTTTGTGCCTTGGTTCCCCTGGGGGCTCTGCTTGTCCATCCAGTCCCATTTGCAACTTGAACACCTCCGAGGCCCATGTGGCAACACCCAGAGAAGCTGTGCTTTGACACTGAGCTGGCAGTGGTGCCCTGCTGGAACTCTCCAGCCGCTTCTCATTTCCCCTAGACCTCCACCTCACAGGACCTCAGCCTGTGTTCACGTGACTGAAGAAGCAGGCACACACGCAGGCACTTGCACACACGCTGCATTACTCAGAAGCAGGAATCCTACTCCCCAAGGCCTGGCAGACTCTGAGACGCGCTTCCTCTCCCTGGGGCTGCAGCTCACTCTCCTGCCTAGATGGCAGCTTCAGTCTCACCATTTTGTGCTTCCTGTGTCTGCATCAGGACATGCTGGCCCCTCTCCCCTATGTACCCAAACCCTCTTCTGCCCAGTCTCCCTGTGACGACTTCTGATGGTCTCTGCGACAAAGCTCAAAAGCTTTCCCTTCGTCGCTGGCCATATCTGTCTGCACTCCGGCCACTGGTTTGCCCTTCCTGGGGCCACTGGCACCCGACTGGAGCCTCATCGGTGGACAGGCACTAGAGAAGTAGCCATTCCTCCAAATGGGGACACCACAATGAGGCCTTACACCAGGAAGGCCAAAAGAAACAACCAGGCCCAGGACAGAACCCGAGAGAGGCTGGCCCTGGCCTTCATGGCCCCTGCCCGGCCCTACCGTCTGGCCTCACTGGCTTGCTGGCTTTCTCCACAGGGTGGACAGGTGTTTGTCATGGTGCATCCCTGACTGGCTAGTATGTCTCTGCTACTCTCTTCACCAGGAAGATGGGTGTGGGGAGTTCCATCTATACTCGTCTGTTTTATTAAGGACCTGACTGCCCGAGGTGATGATCCAGGTGGAAGGACCTGTGTTCTCGTGCAACAGAGAAGTGCGTGTGATCGACTTTGCCACTTAGCTTAAAATCTAACCACAAGCAAGCTTCTGTGTCTACCATTGGCCTGCAAGTTTCCAACTGTCTGGAAGCTATTTTTAGGTGAACGACTATGGCCATGAATGGGACCTATTGACAGTGTAAGAGTCTCCCTTACACTCAGCCCACACTTACTGGGCATGCTCTATGAACAGCTGATGTCAAAGAATATAGGGCAGAACCCTGTCCCCATGGAGCCAGTTTCTAAGACCTGAAAAGAATGTCCTGTCTAGTTTCTTGCTCGATGCCTTCAATAAAAGGCTGTTTCTCTTGCGCCCTGCTACTGGAGCACAGAATGAAGTGTGGACCCTATCTGCAGCAATCACGCCAACCACACAGATCTAGAGACAGAGGGAAGAGGGGACCGGCTGCTCATCCACAGAATAAGACTGTGACTCTGAGACCCACGGAGGGGCCTTAGGGACCTAGGGAATGTGACTAACAGGAAGGTACTGCTGAGCCAGGAAGAGGGTGCTGGGGAAAAAAAGAGAGTCCTA